ACCCCACACTGGATTTGCAGCTTACAATAACCATGGTGTTTTACTGGGAGTGGTCCCAGTTTGGTCATTATCACTGGGACTGTGGGCCCTCTTAGGACTTAACTTTCGCTTGGGTCGTCAGATTCCACTTTACCCTACTGCCACCTTCAGAGTCTGAAGTTAGTGTTCTAGACTGTATCATTCTTTGCTCTACATTTTTCTTCTGTTTCTTTGTGACTTTTTGTTTCTCTGTTGGTTCTTTCTTGAATCCCAGAGCTCATCCTTTTTTTTTCTCCCTGCTAAGTAGGTTTTCCGGGTGTCTAGACTTCAGGTCCTAGTGAGGCTATACTCTGTTCCTGATTTCTAATCTACCATTTTGATCTCTTCTCCCTTATTTCTACTTCTACAAAAAACATTGAATGGCCAGCCTCTTGATGCTGTTTATCATTATAATAAGATTAACAAAAATTATAGTGGCTAATATTTATTGCATGCATTCTATATACCAGATAGTATATTTATCTATTTATAACCATTATAATATTTAATACTCATAAAAACCCTACAGCAGATACACCATCATTAGCCAATTTTGCCCTCAAATCTAAAAGCAGTCCCTTCCTCCGCTTCTGAATTGGTGGTCATAATAAGGAAATGTGTCTCTCTACCAAAATGTCCTCTACACGGTCCTTTGTCACAAGTGACGAGATTACCTCAGATGTTTTAAAATCCAAGTAAAAAGCCTAAGAAGAAAATGTAAAACTGTCTAAGAGTAAAAATTCATTTCTGACTTATTGGCAAAAAGATGGATAAGATTGTCTAGTTAATTATGATAAATTTACACCCTTTTTTTGTCTAGGTGAGACAAAATTCAAACCAATGATTTGTGAGCTGTTTCAGAAAATGGAGGTAGAAAATTGACTTCTCATTTTGAGGGCATCAATAATCTGTATCATGTGGGGTGGATGAGGGTTAAGTAGATAAAGCATCTATACTTTGCATAATGCCCAACCCATAGTTTATCAATAGCTATTAAGATTCCTCTGTTTCTCATGATCATTACTGTCATCATTAATTTAGTATCTTCCATGTAGTAGGTCCACGTTAAAAAGTTGGAAGAAGAACTGTATCCATTCATGGAATTTCATAATATCTAGTGAGATGCTTAGTCAATAAAAATTCATGATACAATTATTCTGAAAGAAAAAAGTTTTAAATTCACCCTACTTCAGATGGTTAAAAATAATTTGCCAATTAAATATTCTAGGCAACAAGATAATAAGCAATCTTATTAAGAATACTCAACCTGGATATTAAAAAACAGGGAACTATTAAGTGTCGTGTTGTAAAAGCCAACCCAAATATGGATCAAAGAATAGACACATATGTTGGAATATTCAAAAGATCTCTCCTGGGGTCTGATGTACATTTGTATCTTCTTGTCCTCACCAGCAGATGTAGCTGTGAGGTAGGAGGAGCTCAGCAGGGGCATCAACAGGTATATCTATGTAGTGAACTCTAAAAATGACTCACAGTGCAGCGGTACCCTGATCTTCACTTAGCTGTTTTTCCATTGGACACATGTTTACCTATATTTTAACATATTGGGGACAACTTGGACAAATGTTTCCTAAGATAGTGATTTTATTTATTTCAAATATTTTGGTTTAGAAAGCACTTTTATGTATATTACTTGTTTAATAACCTTCTAATAAGGTAGGTAAGTCTTGTCAACTCTAATTTCTTGGCTAATTTGAAATTCATGGAGATTAGTTCACAAGGCTGACATCTTACAGTTAGCAAATTAATAAGGATTAGCACCAGGGTTTAGCAATGCATTTCTGACCCAAAGGCCAGCAAGCTTCCTATTGTACTCTATACTGATCAAACTGAATGCAAGGGTCACTAATATGAATTTAAATATCCATGGAATCCAAGAATATAAAAATAAATATACATAACTGCTTTGACTAAGACTTTTAACTTTAGAAGTACTGTGTCTTAAGTAGCTAAAAGATAACTCAAGAAAAATTGGTGTTAGTAAACTTATCAAAGAAGAGCTTTTTAATATCACTTTTTAATAAGAAGTGAAATAAAATTGATTAAAATTTTTTTTCTAGATCTAATTTTTTGTTAAAGTGGTAAATTATATACAAATTTTAAATACTGTACCAAACTCTATACATCTTATATCATATATATATATTCATTTCACACATTTTTCCTTTTAATAACCTATCATCTTATACTATGCTATATTATGGCCAAGTGCACGCCTATAATTTCAGCACTCCAGAGGCTGAGGCAGGAGGATTGCCGTGAGTTCAAGGTCAGTCTGGGCTATACAGTGAGTTCAAGACCAGCTTGAACAACATAACAAAACCTTGTCCCCAAAACACCAAAAATTCTATGATATATACTTAGTAGGCAAATGTTTCAAATATATGTTGAGGAAACTAACTCTTAAAAGCCAATTTAGATGGTAATAGATGTAAATATGTCAACTGCAGTTTGTTCATATATTACCTCTATAAAAAGGTTGTTCTCTTGGGCGGACATACACATTGATGTGACCAAGTGTCTCAGTTTGCCTGGACTCAGGGACTCTCAGGACATAGGAGCTCTGCTAAGGCTGAAACAGTCCCAGGACAGCCAGAACAGTCGGTCACACAAGTAATGGACCCCACACAAGTAATATTCTTATACGGACAAATACATGGATAGATGGATATATAAAGTGTATTATGTAGTCATTACACACTTTTTCCTTTTAATAACCTGGTCATCTTCTACAACTAGTTTACTATGCTGTATTATGGCGGTTCCCTTGAGAACATTCTGGTGAATGGAACTGTGTATTAATGTGCTAAACTAAGCTAGCAAGTTGATAATTTTTGATATCTGTTTCATAAATTTGCTACTTCTTTTGCTAACAGCTATATATTCCAAAATGCATTAAATGCTAATAGTAAGGAAAAAGTCAGATATTCAACTTCCTAAGAACTTATAAACTGTATTTTCTGAGTATAGCCCATGAATGGTTTGTCTTTTTCATTTAAAAAAAAATCACTTGGAGTAGGAAATATAGCTCAAGGGTAGAGCACTGCTTGCCTAGAGTGTTCAACGCCTTGGGTTTAATCCTCAGCACCATTAAAAAATTATTCCCCTGGGGGCTGGGGATTTAGCTCAGCGGCAAAAGCGCCTGCCTGACAAGCGCAAGATTGTGAGTTTGGTTCCCGGTACCGGAGAAAAACCAAAACCAAAAAAAAAAAAAAAAAAAAAAATTATTCCCCTGGATCAGAATTAAATTGAATGATTAGCCAAGAATGGATTAAAGAAAGCAGAAATGTGTTTTCTCTCATGTAAAAGACATCCAGGGGCCAGGCAGTGAAGAGCAAGCTAGGTAGTTTCACAATCATCAGAAACCCAGGTTTCCGTTGCATTATTACATGAAATATGTTCGGGATGGCTGCTGAAACCCCTGCCATTGTTTACCAACTTCCAATCAGACAAAAGGAGGAGCGAAAAGAAAATTATATATCATATTTCACCTTAGTCACATGGCTACATCTATAGTTAATGCTCAAAAATATAATTTTATTTTGAGCAGCCTTATGTGCTACTAAATCTAGAACTCTGTTACTTAGGAAAAGAAGGGAGGATACTAGGGAACAATCACAAATCCTTGGAATACCTATCCAGGCCTACTACTGCAGCAGATGAAATTTCTACTTGTATAACCCAAGCATTACCTTTTTTTTCTATCTGTTCCTTCTTTTCCCTCAACATGCAATTACTATTTTAAAAAAAAGTCAAGTTACCATACAATTAATTTTGTCAGCATGTGAGTTTACATTTATCTTGGCCAGTACCTTATGGGGTCTCTTATATTGATCTAACTTACACTGAAATACGTAAAGGAATTAAATTTGCCTCACTCTCTGCCTAAGTTTGGGTTTAGTATTTCATCTTCCATCTGAGAGCCCAAGTCATGTAGACACATACAGGGAATCTGCATGTAGCCAGTGGACCTGCAGCCTTGCGTTATGTCATTTTCAAAAGTCTGAAACTGATCTGTCAGCTCATAGCTACAAGTAATTTTCTTAGAGACTCAACAGCCTGGTTTTTTGAGATGAAGTTGTAATGATACTCTGAGGATCTTTCAGAATTATTACATTCACGGAATTTTATTGTTCAAAGACACTTAAGTGCCCAACTTCCCCATTTTACTGAGATCCTGAAGAGTTAGATCACTTACCTAAGGTCACTTAGCTAGTTAGGTACAAAATTCCCCTGGCCCTATTCACCAGATCTCATGAGCAGGAAATGTGGTTGTTGACGCTCTATCTTTAGGACATAATCAGTCACTGTGGTTCTACCACACCTGAGAAGCAGCTGTGCGATGCTGTTCTACCAGCATCCTGGAATCTACCCTTGCCTGGAATCTACCCTTGCCTGGAATCTACCCTTGCCTGGAATCTACCCTTGCCTGGAATCTACAGCAACACACTATTGCCTCCAGGAGTTACCTCCCACCTACACGTGACAGGGGTTGACTGTCCCTTCCTCCGGAGGAAGATGGGTGTGTTATAAAGGCGGGAGTTACTCTTGCTCTTCCAAACTCTTAGATCTCCCCAGTGACAATTCCAAACCTTTGCTTGCAGGTTTCACATTTCTGGGGAACTCGCATAGCACACTCAACAGTGCAGAAAAGTTATATAAGCTGTTAGAATCATCAAATTTAGAAGAGTCCTAGAGAGCATTATCTCCTCAATTGCTTGATTTCTCAATTGAGAAAACTAAAATCCAGGGAGAAGAATTTGACTTAGACAAGATTTTATTTCTTGCTTGTGATTTATAGACAGCCAAAGCTCATGGCAACCCTATATTTGTCTGTTTCCAACAATATTAACTATATTTACATAATAAATTAGTCTCTGAAAACTAATAGCCTACTTTAGGTGAAAAAGTGTGGATTTGCTTTAAAACGTCCCTTAAATTTACAATTCAATGACCCAAGCTAATTTTATAAAACATTTTATTTACATAAAGTTTTACAAAAATAAAATTAATACAAATCCATTTTACAACATAACTTATACAGCTATCTTCTCAGAAACGTGACATTTGATAATAGCACATAAACTACACTTCTATTTGTAAGTCACTTTGTAGTATAAATACAATTTCATCACTTTTTATAATAAGGTTCGTAGCAATAAGAACGAACAATGGACAACAAATCTTGTTTTTGATTTTTCCAATGTAAAACTCATCTCTGGCCAAACCAAAATTAACCAAAGAAAAGTAAAACAATTGTCCTTCTGTTCAGGAATACAGTCTTTTTTAATTATTGGAGAGTTTATCTGACAGAAATGCCACATTAATCTGAAAGCACCATGGCATAAAGTCTAGTAACAATATCCCCCAAAGCTTTCTCAGTGTCCTCCCTTTGACTGTTTATTTAGTATTTTGCCAAGATAAATACAGATCGAGCTCAGCCCTCTCCTTCCTTTGCCACAGTATTCTCATTCTGCACCGAGGCTTTCAGATTTTCCCCACTGGCATATATTTAAAATGTGAGTTTCTTTCTTTGGCTGCACGATGAGTTCCTCAACACTTACAAAATATATTGAGCTCCTCCGTGTGGCTGAATCTCAGTGACTCCCCACCCAACAACATTTCCCCGAATGTGACACGACTCTGCTCCTCCGGTCTCTCTTATCTCTTCCTTGCTCAGGACATGATCCCAGATATTGAAGCCCGTGAGTCTTCCAGAAAAGGCTAGTGTTTCGTCAAAGCCCCCGCCCACACAGCAGCCATTCTTTTCTTGGCCAATCTGCAGGATTCCTCCCTCGGGAACAATGTGATTTGTGGCCATGTCCACGGCGGTAGCTACTAGTTCACTGTCTGCCCACAGCGACATGCGCCCTTCCTCGGAATTCCAGGTGCTGCACAGGTGGGTCCACTTGCCCAGGGAAATCACAGTATCAGCAACCAGTTTGTTGTCCTCTCCACCCACGACAAACACTACGGACTGGTAGCTGAGGTACAGCTGGACCTCATACGGATTCCTCTTTGTGCCGTAGGAAAACAGGATGGTTTTGTTTAATACATCCGTGGCTTTGACCCAAATACAGGCACTAAAAGACTCAAGCTTCATTGGTCTCGCTGGATGCACGCTTCCAAAAATCTTCTTGGAACGCATTGGGAATAAAATCGCTGTCTCACAACCTGCAATGGTAAAAAAGAAGTAAGAATATCAGAAAAACTACAGATTCATTTGGAATTATTCTGGCATTTATTTTAGCATAAGCATGTGAACAGCTATATTGGATATCTGTGTAGCATGGCCTTCTGATTTAAGGGTCCTCAGGTCTAATCTTTACAAAGAAAATAAAGGGGCTAGGGATTTAGCTCAGCGGCAAAGCACCTGCCTGGCAAGCGCAAGGTCGTGAGTTCGGTTCCCGGTACCGTAGAAAAACAAAACAAAAAAAAAAAACAAAGAAAATAAGAGCAAACTTTTTAAGATTAATCATCTTAATCAGCGAAGCATCAGAATAGACAAGTAGACGTGCAAATAGAAGAAAGTCAAACACACAAAATAATTTATAAAAATGCTGAATAGCTACCTCCCCTCCCAGTGAGTTCATTTTCATCTTCACTGCTTTTGTAAAATACTGAGTCCCAATGAGCTAACTTTAGACAATGAGTCTGTAATTTCTCAGGGTTTATAGCGCCTGTTTCTCTCTTCCTGCCTTTACCAGGCTTCTACAATATTGAGCCTGTGAAAGTCAATGAGCCTAGCCTTTCTATGTAGCCATCATTGTCATACTTTTTTAAGCAAAATTCTACAATGTTGATGTCAAGGGAATGCATTTGAATGTGCTGTATGTTCTTAGACGTTTATAAACTTTGCAAAGTTTGTAGAAAACTACTCTTTAAAAGGCAACAATGTACAAGGATAACTAGCGCTTACTGGGTGCTCGTTATGTGCCAAATATTGTTCTCATCAATATATATGTTATTTTAATCAATCCTCATGTCCGCCCTGAAGAAAGGTTTTCTTTCCATTTTAGATAAACTAAGGCAACACAACTTGTCTGTGCTTCAATGGCTGATAAGTTTTAGGGGCTTCCACTTGGGCAGTTTGATTACAAGACCACATCCCAGACTAGCACAGACTGGCATACACTGACTGTAATAGAATCCTTGGATACAACTAGGAAGCTAGGATTCAGGGTTGGGTTTTTTTTTTTCCTGCTAATATATACTGAATAGCTTTTGAGAAGCTCTATAATCTCTCCCAATTTTACTATTGTACATAAAGGCCTCTCATAAACTTATGCAAAGTTTATGAGCAACAAGTATGTAGCACTCACAAAGAACTGGGTAGACCAAGCATATGACTAAAAATTCATACTCTGTTCTCATGCTTATAAATCTTATTTAAGCAGTAACAGAAAATCTTTAAGAGAAGCAGGGGCTGGGGATTTAGCTCAGCAGCACAGTGCCTGCTTGGCAAGCGCAAGGTCGTGAGTTCGATTCCCGGTACCAGAAAAAAAGAAGAGAGAGAAGGGATTTCTTTCAAGCAGTCTGTTTGGGGAACATGTTTCTGCTAGAGTGCTGTAGAAGGAGTGGCCTTTCAAACTTGACGTTGAGAACAGTAGACTCCCAGCTGTATTTCAAAGCCACATGAGCAATTCAGAAACTACAGATGCTGAAGTAAAGGCCTTCTAGGTGCTTTGAGGAAGTTACTGGGCCAAAATCTGTAACAGGTGGGCCGTGTGTGTGTGTGTGTGTGTGTGTGTGTGTGTGTGTGTGTGTGAGAGAGAGAGAGAGAGAGAGAGAGAGAGAGAGAGAGAGAGAGAGAGAGAGATTTTTAAATATCAAATAATTTTTAAAACTAATTTAGGGTTAGGCTGTTAACTTTATAACAGCATACAGGTGGGCCATAAGAGAACATTAAAAAGCAAACTCTCCACATTTAAACACTAACTGGTGAATGGGCAGAACGTGTAGGAACCAAATGTCCGCTTGAAGTGTTGTAAACTATTAAACTCCTACAAGTGATTCTACGCTAGGCTTTGTCCTGAAAACATTAAACAACTATAGGCCTTATCCTTTATCTTTAGTCCAAGAAAATACTGAGATTCAGAAAACCATGTGTAAGTAACTACGATATTAATGAACAAAACTGGTCCCGTTACTCTTGAAAATTCAGCTTGTTCCCTGAAAAAGTTAATGCCAGTTTTTCTAATTAATTTTTCATGAGATTTTTCAATGAAATTACAAGGTGCACATTGTTTTCTAGATGCATGAATAAAATAACAAAATAAAGATCATGGATCAAAAGACGACTATATCTGTGGGCACTTGAGATTATGGTCTCTAAGTTTCAGTAGTGTTCAAGAGGGTGCCTGCTGCAGACTAATTAACAGGCTTCCTGTCTCAGTAAGCCCCAGGCAGTCAGGATTGCATTCCAAAGCGCTCCCTGACGGTGTCTGGGAGACCCAGCTTCCCTCCAGGCTGCACTGCTGTATACCTAGAGGAGAACTGCACACGGGCTGTATTCTGCAGGTTTCTTTGGGGGACCAGTGACTGAGGCCCTTGACACTGCTTTAAAATGTCAGAAACTCTCATGAAATGGCTTTTAACTAATAGGTTTTTCTAATTATATTATCAAAGACCAAACAAAATTAAAACCAGGTTCTTAGGCTGACAACAGAATGATTAGGACTCCCTTAGGAAGTAAGCTGGCAGGAGACCAAGAGAGGACAAATCGAAGCCGGCGGGTAAAGGTATTGCTGGTTGTAATAAGGATTAACGTTTCCGAATTCGGGAATATAACACTTCTGCTGTAATATAGAAAGGTGAAGATGAAAATGAGGGTAATTCTTCCAGTTTTCAGGTAGATTATATGTGCAATGATTTTGCGTGGTTTACAAAACACAAGAAACTTTATGCATTAAAACCCACAGAATTATCAGTTTCCTATCATTTACATTAAGTATCTACTTTATATTTGATTTTATAGTTTTTGTCCTCTGAGGCTTTATATAATATTCAAGAAAATATGCTGTACTGATAAGCAGTCCTCAAGTTATTTAGGAAGGACTTCTACTCAGGCATGTTTCTGTAATTTTAAATGAAACATGCTCTTACCATGCTTATGCATCTTCCCCCTGCCTCATCTAACTCGACTTCTTTCTTTTTAAATTGGGAATAAGGGGAAGGGTGGCACTGTTTGCAGTTATTTGTTTCTGAGATGCTCGTGAAAAGTCTATTATATTTTCTTATGTGTAAGAAAATTGTCTAAAATAATCCACAAATTATTTTTACACCACCATTTTCAGAAAGTGTGACTTATAAAAAGGTACTGCGTTGCTCTGGGTCTTCTATCTTTCTTTGGCCAGCTTTCAACGGCATTGTTTCGGAAAACCAAGTCTATTTGGAGGTCCGTGGGGTGCCACAGGGGACTCGGACCAGTGGCGCCAGCTCGAGCAGCGTCTCCCGTGTGGCCTGATCTTTGAATTCCTGGGGTAGCGCAAGGGCCACCCCAGAGTTTGGCTCCTGCACCTGACCCTTCCACCTCGGATTCCTCCAGCCCCCACTGCGGAAGTAATCCCACAGACCCATCGGGCGGCGCGACTCTTGGGGAATTTCAGAAGACCGGGTTCCCTTTCAAGTCTCCAGCTCCAAATAGGTTAAGGAGGAGGAGCCCGCGGAAGGGCTGGAAGAAGGACTTAAAAGTTATCCTGGTCCCTGAAATAGCGCGGGAAACAGGAGCTCCCTAAAGAGCGGGGCAGGACAAAATTAGAAGACGTGGAAATCCCTAACGGAGGAAGCTGGGCACCGAGACGGCTCTCGGCGGTCACCGGCCCGGGCAGCTCCCGACGCCCGGTCGGATCGGGTGTCAGGGGCCCTGGACGTGCGTCTCAGGACCGCGACGGTTAAGTCCCCAGCTCTCCCTAGGGCTCTCGGGGCTGAGCGGCGCATTAAAAGCCCATTGTCCCGCCCTGTGCGGCGCGTCCGAGCGGTGCCTGCAGGCAGCGGTCTGCGCGTGCGCCTCAGCCCGGGAACGCGCGCGCCCCGGCTCCC